TGCCACTCTGCACACTTCCTCTCAAAGATTACTACTGTATCCCCAGTTATAGCTCACCAGACAGTGTTGCTTGCCCCTAGGGCTTTCCAGCGATATCCAGTGATTTCAGAACTGCAGCTTCGAAATAGTTGGAACCTTCCCGCCCAAAGGAATCCAGAGAGAGTATCCAGGGCACTTTGGGAAAGGGCAGCTCAGTTATAGGGAAGCAAAGGCAGTGGTGAGAACAACCAACCCTGAGCACAGATGGCCACACTTCCCTATCCCACCCCCATCACTACATCCTCCTAGAACTGAATGAAGCCGGAAGGGGATATCACCTCAGCTCTGGGCAGCAGGAAAGAAGTTGACCTCTGGGAGGGAGATAGCAGGGGAGGGGTTATGGCAAGGGGAAAAATGGGAGGGGGCACCCCTTCCCCAGCAGAAACAAAAGACAGAAAAGTTTCCAGCCATGTCAGGCTAGTCTTGTGACTATAACATGCTGGTTGGGGGATCCAGGATGTACAGGGCTCTGGAATTTCATGATGTTTCAGGATGAGTATCCAGGTAGTCCATGGAGAAGCCATTAGTGGACTTCAGTTGTCCCTGAAGGAAGGCCACGGGCCATGGAGGACCTCAGGATTGAAGCTAAATGAACCCCTATTAGGAAAAGTACCAAGCAAGACTGCAGCAGGCTGCCCCACAGAGATGCTTCCTTCACAGGCTCCTCCACAAGCCCCTGTCGGTGAGCAACACCTCCCCCTTCCCCCAAATCCTTCACCCCCACTGAAAAATCTCATATTCTAAGTGAAAATACTGTGGTTGCTATACAAACACCACTTCATGACACACCATCTAGCTCCTCTCCCACCAGTCTTCTACCCCAAAGTCCTCCTATATAGAAAATTCTGAAGCCACCACTAGCCTCACTGTCTTCTAGGGACCGGGGAGAGGGATGCTGGGAGTGTGTTAGAGTGTTGCAAGGGAGAAATCCCTCTCCTATAGAGACTTCTGAGCTGACCTGGTGTCTGCTGTGCCCGAAGGAAGAAAAGAGAGGACACTGGGGAGAAAGACAGTGACAGAGAAGTGCTATAGAACGCCACAGGCCTGGGGAAAGACTTCCTGGAGAAGGGACTGACAGTGACATAATCATCTTCCATCTTCAGGATGGACATTACAGACCATAAGGAAGTCAAGCCCAGATCTGAAAAAAAGAGCTCCCCTCGGGGAGGTGGGAACGAGACCTGGCAACCAAAGTCTCGAGGCAGCACCTTCAGAGAGGGAAAAGTGTGTCTAAGTGTAGGAGAGCTCTCTAGGCTAACAAGCTTTAGGAGTGGGCCCGTCTTGAGGCAGTAGGAGGCCCATGTGAACTTCGGAGGTTCTTGTCTGCTGTGATGCTCACCGTCTCCTTGACGGTCTCTGAGCGTCCACCCCCAGCTGAGTCCCTCCTTCTAAAGCATCTGGCTGGCTCGCTACCTGCTGCTAGTTCCTGTCTTTTCATCTGTGACCTCCACTTCCTACATCCGTGCTTCTCTCTTCACAGATTGTAGCTATTTCTGCTCTTTTAGTAGGGAAGGGCTGGGTGTCTTCCCCTTCCCAAGGTCACAGCTGGCTGGGCTGGAAGGAAATCTGCTCCCTCCAGCCCCTCTCGATGTCTGACCCTAGGGATCAGCACAACACAGGGCAAACTACCTGGATGAGTCTTATCTATCTCATCCATTACTCATTCAATGTATTTTCTGAGTCCTACTAAGGGCCAGGAACCGAGCATACACGAGTGATCAAAATGGACCCAGAGCTCACAATTTTGTCCCAGTGGTCCTGGGGCTTCAGAAGACCCCAAAACCAAAGTCTTCTGTATTTATATACTCATAGAAATACTTGCAATACCTAAAACCAACAAAGGACTCATATTTGAAATATTTAAAGAACTCCTACAAAGCAGTAAGGCAGAAAGCCAAATACAAAATGGACCCCAAAAAATGGACAAAATACTTGAACAGATATCCAAATGACAAAGGATATGAAAAGGTGCTTAATTAACCCCATTGGCTATCAGGGAAATGTAAACTTAAACCGCAATGAGATGCCACTCTATACCCACCTGAATGGCTACAATTTTTAAATTTAGATTGACTAAACAAAGTGTTGCTGAAAATGTGAAGTAACTGGAACTCTAAGACATGCTGGCAGGTGTGTAATTAACATGAGCAGTTGAAAAAATTATTTAGGAGCATTTACTAACACTAAACATAGAATTACTCTATAACCTAGTAATTCTGTTCCTAGGTATATATCCAACAGAAATATGAACAGAAATGTACCCAAAGGACACAAACAAAATTGTTATAGCAGCGTTATTCATAATAACTCCAAGCTGGGAACAACTCCAATGTCCATCAACAGAACAACAGGGGCACCTTGGTGGCTCAGTCGGTTAAGCATCTGACTATTGATCTCAGCTCAGGTCTTGAACTCAGGGTCATGAGTTCAAGCCCGGCGCTGGGCTCCACAAGCATGGAGCCTACTTAAAAAGCAAACAAACAAAAAAAAACCACAAAATAACAGATAAACAAATTATAGTACGTTCATTTAATGCCATACAGTAAAGCAATGCAAATGAATGAGCCACGGCTACCACAATGTGATTTGCATGAATTTCACAAACATAATATTGAGAGAATCCAGACACAAAATGATACCTACACAGGGCGCCTGGGTGGCTCAGTTGGTTAAGCAACTGCCTTCGGCTCAGGTCATGATCCTGGAGTCCCTGGTTCGAGTCCCACATCAGGGGCCCGTCTGCTTCTCCCTCTGACCCTCCCCCCTCTCATGTGCTCTCTCTCATTCTCTCTCTCGCAAATAAATAAAATCTTAAAAAAAAAAAAATGATACCTACACAAATGGTTTCATTTATATAAAGTTCAAAACCAGGCAAAACTATTCTATGGTGTTAGAGGTTACCTTTGGTAAGGAGGGTGGGGTAGTGGCTGGGAAGGAAAATGAGGAGGGCTTCTGGGATTCCAGTAACGATTTAATTCTTGATTTGGGTCGCAGTTATATGGGTATGTTGACTGTGTCATAATTTGTTGACTTGTACACTTAGGCTTTGTGCATTTTCACATATGTCTGGTATACTTTGATTAAAAACAACAACAAAACCCACAGGAGAAGCGAACTGTTTTCAGGTGGATAAAAAATGGAAAGTGGGGAGGGAATAGGGGGAGCTCAAGATTTTGCATAGGCAGCTGAGCTGTGGCACCGATTTAAAGCAGCAGAGAAGACTGTTGAACGGAACAGGATAGGAATTGTCTCCAGCCCCTGATTGAAAAGTCCCCAGATACATCAGCCTTAGTTTCCCACCTAACCCTACACCCCCTATTCAAAAACGGATCCTTTTGGATAGAGCCCACTGTTGCCTAGTCTAGCAGCTACTTCTGTCTCCAGGCAAAGAGACCCAGGGTTTGAAGCCAAAATTGGGGTTCTTTTTTTTTTTAAAGATTTTATTTTTCTTATTTGAGAGAAAGAGAGCAGGAGCAGGGGGAGGGGCAGAGGGACAGGGAGAAGAAAACTCCCCACTGAGCAGGGAGCCTGCGAGGGGCTCTATCCCAGGACCCTGGGATCATGACCTGAGCTGAAGGCAGACTTTTAACCTACTGGGCCACCCAGGCGCCCCCAAAATTGGAGTTCTAATACACTGACATTTCCTCTAGAGATCCTGTGACACTGCAGACCCTTGATGCAAATGTCCTAGCAGCTAAACTGAAATAATCCTAAGTACTAGAGTGGGGGGGGGGGCCGGGTTGCTCATGTTTGTCACCCCGTCCAAAGGAATTACCTGCTTAGGTTGCTGTGTGTGTGTTCGTGTGTGTCCGAGAGAGGAAAGGGCAGCCAACAGTATACTGTGTTCTCCTCTCTCCAGGCCCATCTCTGCTCCAAAACCCATCCAGGCGTCTGGAGTCACCTAGAATGCCCCCTGAGCCACTTTTCCCGTGGAAAAGGGCAGGAAGGAACCACTGGTCACAGGTTCCACTGACAAGAGGGGAAAACCTGGGGGGTGGCAGTTCCCTTCTGGGGTAGGTCACACCCCCTGCACAAAAACATCCCAAAGAGAGCTGGTACTGAGCTTGCGTTGGAGAGGTGGAGATACCCCAGGGAGGAAGTGGCAAAAGGCGAGATGGGAACACCCCTCTTTGATCCCACAAGGTGCGTCAGGGAAAGTTGGATTTCGTTTCGCCCGGGATGGAGACTTCTCTCCCCTATGCTGCCACCAAGATCAGTGGGTCAGAGGAAGCCAGGCTCCCCCCCACCCCCCGCCCCTCCCTCAGGTGGTGCCCGTGGGACCCCAGGCGCGAGTCTGACCTCTTTTCCCTCCCGCCCGCCCATCCCCACCCCTTCCAAAACTGGGACGTTATTAAGGCCGGTTCCGTCAGGGCTGAGCCATTTGCTTAGAGGAACGCGGGATCCGGAGGCAGCGCGAGGTGCTGAGCCAACAAGAGAGGGGCTGTGTCCAAGAACGAGGTGGGGACGGTTCTCTCCGGGTGCCGAGCGCGGGAAGGAGCACGGAGATGGCTGCTTGAGCCCGCGGGGTCAGAGGTGGGGGGCTCCGCACCGACGCTTCCCGGTCTTCCCGAAGGCCACAGGCTGGAGGAAACACTCAAGATGCGCGAGGAAACGCGCACAGGCGCACACGCCTTGGAAGGGCGAGGGGGGCTCCCGGCGCGGCGGGGCGGCCCCGGAGGAGGTGGCCCTGCGCCGCGAGCGCCGGGCAGCGGGAACCTCGGGTCGCCGGCCGCCGGGCGAGGGGACCCGCGAGCTCGCAGCACCGGCCGCCGGCCCGCAGCTCCCGTCACTCCTCGCACTGCGTTTCGCCGGCGCCCCGCCTCCCGGGCACAAAGCGAAGGAAAGGGGCCGGGCCGAGGCTGAGCCCGCCCCCCGCCCAGCCCCCGATTGGCCGCTGCCGTTGTCCATCCCGAACCTATTTTTGATGGAGGGGGGGTTGCCACCCAGTCTGCCCCAGATCACGTTTGCCACTAGCAGCCAACCAGTCGGGCCCAAGTCCGCGGGCAAGAAGCGATTGGGGGCGAGTGAGTTCAGCCCCGCGTTCCCCCCGCCCGGGTCCCCCCCGCCCGGGCCCGAGGCGGTATATCCTGCCCTCCCCGGTCACCTACCCCTCGTGGAAGCGGAGCGGCGGCCTCGCTGTAACGCAGAGGCGAAATGTAGCGAGCCGGGTGTCGCGGCTGGACGCTCGCCTTGGCCGGGGGTGCGGGGGAGGGGGGCACGCCGGGGGCCGAGGAGGACTGCCGAGGAGGAGTGATGAGAAGAGGGGGAACCCTGCACCCCCCGAGACCACGGGTCCCTGCTGCCACTCGCCAGGCGCCCCCCTTCCTCCCAAGCGAGAGGCAGGTCAGTCCTGGTGGGTCTGGGGCGGTGGGTGGCGGAGGGCGGGAGCCCTGGCGCGCAGCGCATTTGCTGAGTCTGAATGCGGGAGAGGCGGGGGAGGCCACCCAGTTTCTTCTCCCCCTCCCTGGGTTTGCAGATACTAAAACGGGTCTTTTTTGTTCCCTCCTCAGGGTATCCTGGTTCACTTTTGCTTCTTTCATCCGAGGGCCTTAGGCCCATCCGAAGTCTCTTTAGTGGAAGGAGTGGGGTGAGGGACTGGCTTCTCTTCCTGGGAGCCCCCCTTCAGTTTAGGTAGCCTGCCAGGAAGACAGGAGGAGGAGGGAGGGTCAAGTTCTAGCACACACTGCTGGCATAGGGACAGTGGACTCTCTCCTGCCCTGAGGGCAATTTCTGGATCTCTAGTGAGGGTCTTTGAGAGAACCACAGGACTGTGTTTAAGGAGATTGGAAAAGGGAATCTGGATGTGTGACTTGAGCCCATAGAAAGAGAAAACAGTTCCCATGGGTCAGTTACTGGAGTTTGAATCACCTTTTCCCAAACTGGAGTTGACTAATTGTGTGTGTCTGGAATACTTAAGTCCTTGGTCATCTTACCTAGGGAAATTCTCCTTAAATTTATTTTTCCTTGTAAGAACTGTTTTGGTGAAATGGGATAGAGTGGGGTCAGGGCCTGGGGATGCCTTAAACAAGAAAAGCGGGGCTGTTGCTGCTAGACGCTTGCATTTGGGAGCAAGTGCATTTTGGCTTATGCTGCTTTGTATTTTGTTTTGCTTTGCTTTACTTGTTTTTTTTTTTTTAGTTGCTGCTTTTGTTTTTTGTTTTTGCTTTTTAGAATTCCACTATATCCAACTCTCAGTAACCCTGGGGAACAGGGTGAACCTAGGGAGCTGCAGTGTTCGCATAATAACCAATAGCTTTACTCTCTTCCCCTTCAAACTGAGATAACTCTCTTGTCCTATCTGAAAAACCCACAGGGCCAGGAGCAGGGGGAGAGAAGTAGAGACAGAAGCCTGGATCCCAGTCAGCGTCTGAGCTTTTTGTAACACTGCTCACTCTCAAGGGCAGGAGTGGGTAGGCCTCTGGCTCTTGGCCTTGGTCTGGCAGCCTTGCCCCATGGCCCAGGGAGTCCTTCTAGTTTTGTTTTGTTCTGTTTTGTTTCCCCTCTCGGGGGCTAGGGCGTTTGTGGGTCTGGAGACTTGCATTTAATGATCAGATTCTCCCTGTTTATTTGTCTTGCCAAGCTGTCTTGTGACTATAAACAATCACTTTCGCAGCGGAGTGTCTGTGCTTTGTGGCAGGGAGCTTGTGACTGAATTTGTAACTGACCCCACTGGGAGACCACACTTAAATAACCCTGGGTTTTTAATGAGCGTTCAAGAAGGGATCTCCCCCAGGACATCCCTGTCCACCCCTGGTCACTGAGAAGACGATGTCAAGGTCTCCTGCGCCACACAGCCCCAATCCCCAGGCTGGCCCCAGCTCACGGCTGTTGACTACCGCGGTGATCCCTGTGGGGCGGTGGGCTGCCGGGTGGGAGGACGGCAGGGGTCGCGCCCGCTGGGCCTCCGGAGGTCACAGGGCAGGAATGGGTAGTGAAAAGAAGGAGGAAACGAGCAAACCCTTTATGCCTGCCTTGTGGGAAAGTTGTCCCGGTATGAGCTGTCCTTGGCCATGTCATAACATTCTCCTTTTTGTCTTCTTCCTTCCCACATCAGGTGTTCCACACAGATTCTCGTGACTTGAAGGACCAGGGATTTGGGGCGGGACAAGGTCTTCCCAGGAAGGAAATCTCTGGAGGAAAGGGGAAGGACAGCAGACAGTGCGCCGGGACAAGCGGAGCCGGAGGAGCTGTGGGAAGCTGAAGGAGCCCAGCCAGGGGCGCGGGCCCGAGCGGCAGCCCTAGGCCGAGGCTGCCTTCTGCAGGATTTGAACTCAAGCTACTTTTCATGAAAGAAGGGCCACCTCAGAGGGCGCCCCGGACTCGGCTGGGCTCTTCTACTCTGGATGCCCCCTGCTCTGAGGACCCTGCTGCTCAGAACCAAAGAAGATTAAGAGGCCAGATACACTTCCCCCCGGCCCCGCGCTGGCCGGCCGGAGTCAGGTCTCTGCTCGCCTAGTGGCTAGCTGCGGAGTCTGGTGGGGAGTCTCTAGCTTCCCTCCAGCTCGCGGCTTCAGTGCTTGATGGGGCTGCCTGTCGGGGGACCAGCGTTTGCTGCGCCTGGTAGGGCCGGAGAGCCGGGGGAAGAGGTCCCGCGGCGCCCAAGCCTGGGTTCACCCCAAGACTAAGTGCTTTCCCGACTTAGAGAGGGAGAGAGAGAAAGCAAGAAGAAAAAAAGAGAGGGAGAGAGAAAGGAAAGTTCCCCTTCCCCTCCTCCCTTCCCGTCATGTCCTCTAAGCCAGAGCCGAAGGACGCCCACCAGCTCAACGGGACTGGCCCTACTCCCTCGCCCTGCTCTTCAGATGGCCCCGGGCGAGAGCCCTTGGCCGGGACCTCAGAGTTCCTGGGGCCTGATGGGGCCGGGGTGGAGGTGGTGGTGATTGAGTCCCGGGCCAATGCCAAGGGGGTCCGGGAGGAGGACGCCCTGCTGGAGAACGGGAGTCAGAGCAATGAAAGTGATGACGTCAGCACGGACCGGGGGCCCGCACCGCCCTCCCCGCTCAAGGAGACCTCCTTTTCCATCGGGCTGCAAGTGCTGTTCCCCTTCCTCCTGGCAGGCTTTGGGACTGTGGCTGCTGGCATGGTGCTGGACATCGTGCAGGTAGGACCTGGGGAAGGCCGCTCTTGACCATGAGCCCGGGGCTACCTTTTCCTCCCGCGAAACCGACTCTTGGAGCTTTCTCTCCACCTCCCTGTGAGAAGCAGCTGCCGCTTCCTAGAACCGTTTCCCTTTGGATCACGTCCTCGACTTCTTCTGGGTCTAGTTACTTTCTATGGAAGCCTTGAGGAAGCCCAGTAGCCCTGAGGAGGTGGTCAGGACAGCATTGCTTAACAGAAGCAGAATCTGTTCCAGAGCTCAGGCTTGGAGGAGGAGAGATGGAACGAGGTATTTGCCTGCCATCCCTCCTGGGCGTTCCTCTTGAGTCCGGCTCTGTAGGGGAGACACTTAGATGGGACTCCTCTTTATGCTTTCTTTTCCCTTCACTTGGGGTTTGAAGGATACCCACAATAGAAAGCTCAGTTTCAGGTCTCCCCTCCATCCCCCTGCTGGGCAGGAATTTGTTCGGCTGCCAAGAGGGTCTCAAATTAAGTGGGAAAGTTCTTAAAGGCATTCTCTGTTGCTTATCTGCCTGGAACCTTGGCACGATCTCCTTGGGGAACGGAGGGGGGTTCATGCTATCTGATGCATGATTTGGGCAGGAAGTGGGGTGGGGCGTTGGCATGGCAAGACCTGGAAGTGCAAACTATGGGGTGTAAATGGGGACAGAATGTAACCAGGCCTGGGCAGAACTCTCTCTCCTCTTTGCTTCTTACCTGTATTTCATGAACTTGCCCTGGGCAAAGAGGGCTGCTTGTGGAGCTACTGGGTAGCGTTAAGGTTGGGAATTGGCAGGACCTGGAAGCTGAGAGCCAGGGATGTGCTATGTAACGTACTGCACGTTAGGACTCACCCAGAACCTTCAGGTCCAAGAGGTCCCAGTCTTGTTTCCTGGGAAAAGGTTTTGAAGTGCAGGAAGACAAGCCCAGTGGAGTTACCCCGGAGGCGGAGGCGCTAGGTTTATCAAAGTTAATCGTTAGCAGGTATCAAATTCCTGCTGTGTGCTGAGCTCTGTCCTAGGTACTTGGAGAAATACGAAGACCAGAGGAGATCTGGCCTTGGCCCTGGGGACCTCCCAGTCTGTCCCTAACCATGAAATCTCCCAGGAGGACATGGAACTCAGCATCCCCTCCCCGGTGCCAGGCCAGCCCTACAAAGGATACATGCAGTGATGCAGAGAGGCCTGCTGGTGGGTGGAGGTTACTAGGCCAGTGTCCCAGGGAACTGAGGGTGGTCGGTTCTAGGTGGTTCCATCAACAGTGTCCACCTGGACCACTTTGACTTGAGCCCTTAGGAGAAGCTTGTTGCTAATGAGGATGGTGTTTATGTCATGCCAAAGCGCCTCGTACTGCCTTCCCTCTCCCCTACCCTACTGTCTTCAGGGTTGTTCCTCATGGAGGTTGGGAAGCCAGCCTGGAGCTGGGAAGGAGGCTTTGGACTCCTCCCCCTAGTGGCTGCTTCACCTCCTAGGGCCGTGAGGGGGCCTAGTGGCAGGAGAAATAAGACTCTTCCATCTCTTCGCTGTGGTCTTGATTCTCATTCTTAAGAGTTTTTGGGTTCTGGTTTGGTACTTACAAAGAGGTATAGAGCCACGTTCCAGTTGTTTTATTTTCTGGATACTAATAACAGTAATAGGGAGCACTTGTTGGGCCCTTCTGGAGGTGGGCCCATGAGGTGGAAACCATAATCCTCTCCATTTTGTCTATAGGGAACCTTCGGCTTAGAGGGATTAGGTAACTTGTCCCTGGTCATCTTGACTCAGAGTCCGTGCCGTTAACCTCTATGGCCTACACCATGTCCATGGTTCACCAGTTGGTTAAAGACTTAGGCAGGAGTCTGCTCTCTGTGTCTTCCCTTGAAGAACAGGGTGGATCAGAATCTGGAACAATTGGAGTTATATTCTAAAGTGGACAAGAACAAAGGTCCTTAGCAGTCCCCCACCCCCACCCCTTTCCCACATACTCAGAGAATTCCAGAGCTGGAAGAGACTTCTGACATCTTGCCCCACCCCCACCCCGCACCCATGAGCCTGAGACATTGGTAGGGACCTTTGGAGCCTGCCCAACATGCCCACAGAGGACCAGCAATTGCCCTGAGTGTGGCACTTAGGCTCACCCCAGAGCTAGGGTCCATTGGATGTGGATGACAATGGTTGGTTTGTCCTTGTCCCCCTCCCCCAACCTTCCTGCCACAGCTGGGTTGAAGCAGGCCCTGCAGATGGCTACAGAGATATCAGGGTAGGAGGAGGGTGCAGAAAGACCAGGACATGGGACTACAGGGAGATTCTGATTCCATATCCAGGGAAGCAAAGGCCGGGGGGCCGGGGGAGGGGTGGCTGACAATCTCAGATTCAGGAAGAGCAGGATGATTTCTAGGGCTTCACACTTGCATCCTCCCTTCATAAGCTGAGCTGGCCTTCAGTGGGACAGAATCTGGGAGTGCCTAAAAGACTGGGGCCATCTGGAGGAGATGGCCATAGAGTGTCCCCAGCATCTCAGAGCAAATGAACAGAAGTCCGAGTTGGTGCGGATGTCTCCTTGGTCCAGGGCCCCCCCCCAACCCATCTTTCCCTACTACTGCAGAAGACTCAGTCTCTTTCTGGAAGGTCATTTCTGTTGCCTCTTATCTGCCCTCTCGCCCAGTCAACGTGCACAGCCAGCCTCGGCAGTGAGATAAGGGGCTGGTGTACTGGCCAAAAGTAGAAAAAGGATAAAGGGACAGCCATCTGCTCCAAAGTCCCACCGTGGCTGCAAGTTCCCATGATATTTAGGAAGGAAAGCAGGATTGGGCCCCATGTTGGGACTGGAGGGAGTTGAATATGGTTGGATACGGATCTACCACAGGTGCTCTGGGCCCCGCCCCCCAAGTCTGGTCCTAGGGCGTTGCATCCTGGCTGGGAGTGCCCGCCTGCCCCCGAAGTCACTCGCCTTTGCTGTCAGCCTTTTGAGGGATAGGGGAGATAGGAGGTGGTGGACCAACCTTTCCTGGAATTGCCAACTGTGTTAAGACAGGTATTATTTTAACTCACTACTCACTTGCTGAGGATCCCAAGAAAAGGAGACAACCCCTTCGCCCAAATACCTCCTCCTCCAGCTTCTCCGCCCTGCTGTGTATATGGAAGAGTCTACCAAGATGAAAGTGGAGGGGAGGGGAAAGAGGCATCCTCCCTGTCTGGCCTGCTCCCAGGGCTGCCAGCCCTCCTGGGCGGGACTCTCGGATCCCGTCCTCCTTGACCACTTCCTTTCTCACACTTTGTACAGCCCTGAATACCCAGGCGCTGCCCTGAGGCCCTCCTCCTTGGACACCTGGGATGCCTGCAGAGGGGGAAAGCCTCAGACAGGTGATCGGACTCAGTCCTCACCCCGAAAGCTCGACTCCAGCCCAGCCTCTGGGGTCCTCCCACAGCCTGGGGCTCAGAGCTTACCTCTAGGGATTTTCATCTTCTTAATGTCTTGATTCCAACTTTTCCTGGCTGTGACTTTCCTCCCTGCTTCTACCGTCTGGGGGCGGGGAAGGGTGGGGGAGGAGAGCTCAGGGCAGAATACTCGAAAGCAGGCAGGAGTCAGTATATGAGGCTGGAGGAGGTAAGGGATGGAAGAGGCAAGAGGGAAGGACGCGGGAGAGGTACCGGCTAGGCCGCTGAGGTACGAGATTTAGGGTGATCGCTTTGAATCAGGATGATTTTGGGGTGTGGGGGGAACAGTCTCATTTCTCACCTCCCGGGATAACAGAGCCCAATGAGCCCCCAACCGCAGCCCGTGTCAAGGACGGAGAAAGACAGGGGAGAGGAGCTGCATTTCTAAAAAGCAGTGCTGTCTGTGGACGCCCTCCCCCTGCCAAGTGGGGCAGTGCTTCCCTTTTTTATCCCCAGCAGAGCAGGAAGGCGTGGGTGCAGGCTTGGCTGACAGGTCTGACTTCGGGGGCAGGCGGGCACTCCCAGCCAGGATGAACAGGATGGGCCTGAATTAGGCCAAAGGAAGAAAGAGACACCGCCTGAGCTGCCTCTTTGAGAAGGTTCTGTGGGTGAAGAAAGTATGTGTGTAGGAATTGGCTACTCTGACCCACGTGCCGGCTCAGGGCGTTGCTGGGATTGCTGGTCAGGTGGTGTGAGATCCCAGGCTGAATTCTGTGTGGGCTGGGAAGACTTCTGCACAGGGGCTGGTACTGTGGTGGCTTGCTCCCCTTGCCTGTCTGTCTCTCAGCTCATCACCTCTGAAACCCTATACCTTCTTGGTCCTGCTAACGTGTGTGCTGGGAGGCAGAGGGCCCTGGGAGTGCTGAGAGGGGCTTAGCTGCGCTTCCTACATTCTTTTTCTTAAATAATCACAAAGACAATGTTCCTTACAAACAATTTAGACAGTATTCCATGCATACACTTAACGTATCTCTTTCCAGGCTCCTTGACTCCGGGAGCCCATATACATTACCTACGCCGAGCCAAGGGAGGGGCAGATGGTCTGCAGTGAGGAGGGGATATGAGGCTGTGCTCTGAGAGAAGCTTTGAAAGCCCCCAGTCAGCCACCCTCATGAGGGGAGGGGAGCTGAGGGGAAGTCTTCCCCTCCTTGGAGCTGATTTAGGGGAGAAAGGATGAGGCACAGCCCCGTGTGGCCGGGCCTGCAGGGAACTGGAGCCCCAGTGGTAGGCACCAGCCGTGTCCGAGAGTAACAGTGCCCGAGTTCCTCCAGGCTGGATGGGGCTCGCTGGGGCTGCCTTCTCTCAGGGCACCTCGGGAGTGACAAGGGGTTCGCATCCTTCCAGCGTTTGCGAGGGCCTGCCTCTTCCTGCGGGTACCTCCAAGCTCGGCAACTTGCTGGGAAAGAGGGAGCAGGGCAGGGGGGACTCTTTCCCATCCTTAGTCTTAGAGAGGGGCTCCCCTAAAGAGAGTCCTAAGCCCTCCGCCTGTGAGGGGCCAGACCAGGAGCTCAGGTAAGCGTGTGCTCTAGGCCTAAGGAGAGGCGCCCTTCCCCCAGAGTCCTGGTATGGACTTCTCCCCACCACACACGCACACAAACAAAATGCATTTCTCTTTTTCTGACAGGAAAAGAGAAATCCTTACCTTATAGGCCCTCCTGGTGTCCAGCCTCCCCAGGTCTCTGGCCCTAGCCCTGGCCCCCTCTGATACTCCTTGCTCATCTTGTATTATTATTATTATTATTATTATTATTATTATTATTATTATGTTAAAAAAACACATAACAAAATGTATCACCTTACCCATTTTTAAATGTACAGTTTGGTAGTTGTTATATTACATTGTTGTGCAACAGCTCTGAAACTTTTCATCTTGCAAAACTGAAACTCTAAGCACTAAATCCCCTTCCAGCCCCTGGCAACCGACCATTCTACTTTTTATTTCTATGAATTTGACGACTTTAGATACTTTATATAAGTGGAATCATACAGTATTTGTCTTCTCGTGACTGGCTTCTTTCACTTTAGTATAATGTCCTTAAGGTTTATCCATGTCGTAGCACAGGTCAGAACGTCCTTCCTTTTGAAGGATGAATACCATTCCATTGGACGTATACACCTTTCGTGTGTCCATTCATCCATCGGTGGACACCTCGGTTGCTTATACCTCTCGGCCATTGTGAGTAATGCTGCTAGGAACGTGGGTGAGCAAATATCTCTTCAAGACTCTGCTTTTGCTTCTTTGGGATATATACCCAGCAGTGAGATTGCTGGCTCATATGGTAGTTCTATTTTTAGTTTTGGGGGGACCCTCCCTACTGTTTTCCATAGGCAATGGAGCGTTCTCTGGCCCCACCAATAGTGTACAAGGGTTCGGGTGTCTCCACGCCCTTGCCAACACTTGTTGCTTTCTGGGGTATCTTCGTAGTAGCCATCTTGATGGGCATAAGGTGATAAATCTCATTGTGGGTTTGATTTGCAGCCGTCCTCCTTCTTAACTATGGAGTGTCAATGCTGGAACTGCCTTTAGAGACCCTCCGACGTGGCCCCTGAATTGTACATTTTACAGTCGGGAGCTTGAGGCCCCCGTAGTGTGTCTGAGGTCCCCAGGCTCATCCGGGGACCAGCTGGGGAGGACGCTGGGGAGGTAGCATGAGGCCCATCCCTGTGGTCTCTGTAGGAGACCCAAGGCTCTCAGTCCGGTGTCCTCACACCTACAGCGCTCTGCCTCCTGACCATGACCCCCTCGTCAACCTCCATATGCCCGTCTGGCCACCTGCCCCCTCCTCCCTCTCCAAACCATTCCTAAAACAAATAAAGAACAAATAAAGGAACCCATGTGGCAGGGAGACGCAAACCCAGGCTTTTTTGCCAGTCTTCGATTTCACTTGCAATTAAAGTAGCTTTCAAATAGCCAATCCTGGCTCCTTGGTTTTTCCCACTTAGCACGAACAAGCATAGTGCCCTCTGAAATTCATTTTCCTCATTCACAAAATGGGGATAAAGATAGCCCCCACCTGAGTGGACTGTTGATCGGTCGAAATGAGAAACTGTACAACGTAGAGTGCTTACAAGCAGCCTAGCACGCAGTCGGCACCGAAGAGCTCTTGGCTGAAGGAGCTGGTGGGAGAGCCAAACCCGATAGGCCCGGGACTAGAACCCATGTCTCCTGACCCCTAGTCCATTGCTCTTCCTGCAGGGGATATATCCTGCAGTGAGTATATATCCCCCTCGCCTCTCCTGAGAGCCTGGGGGAGGTATGTGGGGTGAGGGACTGCAGAGGAGACATAAAAAGCCTCTTGCAAACCAGCACGCAGAGGTTTGGGGGCCCTGGTGTTAATTCAGAGCCTATTGAGGAGGAGAGTTGCTGTGGCTGAGGCCCAAAGCCCTTGGACACAGAAACCAAACAAACTCTAATCTCCTCAGTCCCAGCCCCATGGAGCCCAGCTCTCAACAGCTGAGACAACACCACCCAAGGTTGAGGCCACGGAGAAACTGGACTGAAGGCAAAGAGGTTGGGGATTGCTATTTGAGGGGGGATCACAAAGGAGTTCTGGCGTGTAAGCCAGCCTGGGGTGACAGCCGTGTGGGCCCTCACCTCCTGTCCCTCACCTCCAGAAAGCAGGCAGGGGGAGTGAAGCCAGGCTGGGGTCTCCTGCCTGGATGAGCCCCTCCATGTCTCCCCATTTCTGGGTGGCAGGAAGGGGGGACTGTGTTGTTGGAGCACCATGGTCTTGGTTTGGGTCCAGGGTTCTTGGAGAAAAGGCGGCTGGCGTGCTCACGCCCTGCTGATTCCACTTCCTCCTCAAGCCTCTGATCCCAGACTCCCTGTTCAACCTGATGCCAGCCGTTTGGGGCACTGAAATTCCTGGGTTCTGTTTTCACCTTGTAGCACTGGGAAGTCTTCCAGAAGGTGACAGAGGTCTTCATCCTGGTGCCTGCGCTGCTGGGGCTTAAGGGGAACCTGGAAATGACCCTGGCATCGAGGCTGTCCACTGCAGTGAGTGTCCTGGCGGGGAAGCATGGGACACACAGAAGACTTGGGGCAGCACAGAACCAGACTGAGAGATCACTGCAGGCCTTTCCCAAGCGCCCAGGCCTGGAGTGTGGGGCTGGGGTGGGAAGGTGTAGGGAGATTCCAGCCTGGGTGTCCTGCTCCTGGGCAGGGGCTCCCTGCCCAGAGTGGTTCCCAGGCTCGGTTTCTGGATGTCCCAGCCGTCCCTGGACTCTTGCCTCACCCCCTGCTCCGCAACCCACCTCGTGACTGTTTATGCAGCTTTGACAGGCAAGCATCATGCTGGGCCCTCCACCTGCACAGACGGGGGCCTCCTCTGATCTCCAGCCCTACTCTGCAGCTGGGCAGGAGCAGAGCCAGGCCTTCCCAACCCCCCGTCCACCCCCTTCCCTTTCCCTCATGGCAGCTTACTCTTCATTAAGGGAATAGACAGCAAGGGGGCTGCTTATCACTCTCCCTGCCCACAGCCCTGTAGATCGGCCATGATGGCCCAGAGACTGAACCGGATACAGGGCCATGGGGTGGGAGGTGGGAAGCAATAAAACTCGGGAGGCCAGGGGAGCCGGGTGGCAGGGATGGCCCCTGTGGCTACAAGTCTAGAGAAGGCCACAGAGAGAGTGGCAGCCTGCCCACCCTGCCTGACTTCCGGCCTACTCCTGTGCCACCTCATTCTTCCCAAACCCTGTGGCAGCCTCAGTCCCACACCAGCAGCTGACCTTTCCTGCCCTAGAATGGGAAGCTGGCTTCAGAGCCAGCGATCGGGTCCCTCTGACCCATGTGGAAATGGGCTTCCCAGATGAGCAGCCCACGGGACGGAATCTGCCTCTGCTCAGCAGTTGTCCTAAGAAGAGGAGAAGAGAGGGGGCTGGCTTGGGAGCCCCCTTTCCGCCCCCGCCCAGCTGCAGGAGCTCAGGCTCTTTAGCTCCTTCCTTCTTCCGGCCCCCTTGATGCTGCTTCACTTTCCCTGGGGGTTATGTCCCAGTCCCAGCGTCTTAGACCCCATTCACTGCCTCCTGATCCAGGCAGGGTCCTAACAGATGGAGCCGCAGGCCTTTCCCAGCCTGGAGCTCCAGCCCCCCCCTCCCCTCCCTCTCCCAGGCCAACATTGGGCACATGGACACACCCAAGGAGCTCTGGCGGATGATCACTGGGAACATGGCCCTCATCCAGGTAAGAAAGCAGAGACCAGAGAGGGTGGGCTAAGCTTCCCCCTTAGTCAGGAATCTGAAAGACTGAGTTCAGCCCCAGCCAGCTTGTGAGCGAGGCGCCAGCATCCTGCCGAGCTGGCCTGTCCCGAAGCAGCCCTAGGAGGTGACCAAGTTTCCCAGGCAAGCGGCCAACACGGGGAGGGCCCCAGCAGGTCCCACGTCAGTTCTCGGCTTGCAGGGGTCCACTGGGCTCAAGTTCCCACGAATCGGACTCGGGAGGGCTGACCTGTCCTCGGCCACTGTTGTCCCATCTCCGTGTGAGGCGACATGGGTTCCAGACTGGGAGTCTTCCCCTCGAGTCCCAGGCCTTGTCTCCTGACTGAAGGCTCAGGCTCTGCTGATTCTCACCCCAATCCCCAGAGGGGATGACTGGCTCCTTCGGCCAGTAACATGTCCTGGGCTCCTGCGGGGTACGCTGCCCAGGACCAGTGTCTGGTGTGAAACTAAATAAATAAAGACACCATTCCAGCCTGGGGGGACTGCACAGTCCAGCCCAGCCTGCCTCCGGGGGCTGCAGAGAGCCGGGAAGAGGGCCGGCCCAGCGCTCGGCCACCCCCGCTAGGAACCCCGCTGCCCCCAGGCTCTCTTGAGTTAAGCACCCCCGCCTCAGGTGCAGGCCACGGTCGTGGGCTTCCTGGCGTCCATCGCAGCCGTCGTCTTTGGCTGGATCCCTGACGGCCACTTCAGTATCCCGCACGCCTTCCTGCTCTGTGCTGGCAGCGTGGCCACGGCCTTCATTGCCTCCCTGGTGTTGGGTAAGGAAGGGAGGGCCAGGCGGGGGAGGGGAGGCCCGGGCCTGGCACCTGCAGTCTCTCCTTTTGTTTGTTGACGCCCCTTTTATCTCTCCTCACCCCGCCCGGCCCCTCCCTTTCCTCCCCAGGTATGATCATGATTGGAGTCATCATTGGCTCTCGAAAGATGGGAATCAACCCAGACAACGTGGCCACGCCCATTGCTGCCAGCCTGGGTGACCTCATCACCTTGGCACTGCTCTCAGGCATCAGCTGGGGACTCTACCTGGAGCGGGGTGAGGCTGAGGCCACTGAGGGTGTGACCAGGGTGGACCCCCAGGTGGGATTTGGGAGAGACAGCAGTGGGTTTGCAGAGGTGTAAGGATTTCTCCTATGCTCTTAACCGTGTGGTTGGAGCGCAGTTTTGTACCAACTCCCCCTCTGCCCCTGAGCTTGGCTCAAAGTCACGCAAGGCAGCAGGGGCACAGGGGAAAGTATCTGAGAAATATATTCCTGCCTGGTCCTGTGGACTCCTACTTGCCTGGGAGGAGTAAAGGTGAAAGGCTGAAGGAGAGGAGCTGAAGCCTGGAATCTGCTTGCCGCATGGGGGGTGGGGAGACAGGGATTTCTGGGGCTCCAAGCAAGGAACGTTAGAAGCTGGTCTCTGCCCCTGATTAGCCCCAGGCCTGGGAAGCTCTCAGCTTGGTTTCCTCATCTACACAAAGGACAAGGCTGCCCGCCCCCCCTCTCCTGGGCTTGCCAGGAGGATTGATGATCCAGGCACCTGGTGTGGGGTTCCTGCTGATCTGCCAGCATGGTGGCCAGGGCCGAACCGGGGGAGGCCTGAGCCGGGCGCCGCAGTGCTCACCTCCCTGTCGTCTCTGCCTCCCCTCAGATGACTGGCAATACATCTACCCCCTGGTGTGCGCCTTCTTCGTGGCCCTGCTGCCTGTCTGGGTGGTGCTGGCCCGACGGAGCCCAGCCACAAGGGAGGTGTTGTACTCGGGCTGGGAGCCTGTCATCATTGCCATGGCCATCAGTAGGTAGGCTTGGGCCCTTGGGACACACCCTCACCCCCTTCTCACCCCGCCACAGCCTCCCTATTGAGCCCCGGAGACGGGAAATGTGGTACAGAGCCTAGAAACGCCTTCCAGAGTGTATCCGCTCCATGTCCTTCTGTCACATGTGACAGAACCATCTGACGTGGGTTTCCTTGAAAAGCAGAATGCACTGGCTTAGGGCACGAAAACGGCACAGCTGGATTCAGGGGCATCAGGGCTGCGATGTTCTGTATCTCTCGGCTCTGCTTTTCCGGGTAATGGCCTGTGGCTCCAGGTTCATACTAACTCCGGGGGGAAGAAGTTCACAGTTCCACAGAGTCCCGTCAGAGAATTGCACTGGCTCTCATCCATTCACATGGCTATCCCTGACTCACTGCGGCCTCGGGGAAGTGGTGCTCTGATTGGATAGGGCTGGGGCCTAGCCATCCTTGGAGCAATGTCACCTGACTGAGTTTGAGAGAGGTAGTTCCTGGGGAAGAGCCCAGTGCTGTTACCACAAGGGGAAATAAATACTGAGTGGGCAGAACAGCGGTCCTCGTGGGCTGCTCGCCCTGAGCTCCTCTAGCCAACGGGGAGGGGTGGGGGCAGGTACAGGAGGCAGGGGCCTAACCCCATGCCACCAGCTTGCTCTGGGGAGCGCTGTGCCAAGTCTCAATATTATAAGCAGCAACTGGTTCTGGCAAAGGAGGGAAGGACTAGGGGACAAGGGACCCCTAGGAGCCCCTTGCTCCCCAAGGCCAGATGGGCCTGTCATCCCCAGAACTGGAATACAACCTGTCGGTGATCTTTGTGTCACTTTGTCTTTGTCTGTGTAGTGTGGGAGGCCTCATCTTGGACAAGACTGTCTCCGACCCCAACTTCGCAGGGATGGCTGTCTTCACGCCTGTGATTAATGGTGAGGTCTTGGCATCAGCTGCCGGGGGAAAGGAGAGGGGCAGGAGAAAAGGACGTGGGGCCTTTGTATCAGTCAGGACTCCGGCAGCAAGAGCATCCGGCTCAGACAGTTCAGGACTTTATCAAAGGAGCTGCTCACAGAGCGGGGAGCCGGGGAGGGACCCAGAGATTAGCAACAACCGGAAGCCCTCGTCCTCCAGCGTCAAGAGGAGAAAATAACGTTAGAGGAGCCTAGAGAGAACACTCCTCTGCCCCCGACAGGGGTAAGCCACTGCCAAAAAGAGAGGGATAAGGAAAAAAAATACCTGAGCTCTCTCTCCTTCCACCCTCTCTGAGTGTGTCCTGCTGGCTCCTGTTGAAACCCGATGAGGAGCAGCCAGCAGCAGAGCATGGGTGATGCGGTCTGTAGGTCAGGCTCTCAGAGCTCAAGGCAAGGCTGCGAAGAGCAGGGAAGAGGTCGAGGTCGGGGGTGGGAGGGTAAACAACAACAAGCACGGTTCCTAGGAGAGGCACCGGAGTCCAGAGCTCAAACCCGACACTTGAACTTGGCTCCTAGAACGAGCACAGGAGCCTGGGTCTGCTCAGAGCTGTGGAGAGAGGCTGGGCAGGGCAAGGCCTTGTCGCCCTGGTTGTGTGGGACGGCAGGGGCACAGGCTGCCTACGTGTGCAGATCGGCTGTGCCCCTTCCTGCACGCTCAGCCCCCCTAGGGGCACGTGGGATGGCCACGGCTCCATAGACCGGAGGGTAGAAGCAACCTGGAAGACTTCTGCGGGGGGGCGGGTTGTCTTCGTCTTCCTTCTTGGAGTCTCACTCTTCTCCTGGGGGCTGGTGAACGTGTCGCGCCCTCCCCACGCCTCCCTCTGCCCCATCTCAGCGCTTCTGTCGCCCTACAGGTGTTGGGGGCAATCTGGTAGCAGTGCAAGCCAGTCGCATTTCCACCTTCCTGCACATGAATGGGATGCCAGGGGAGAACTCTGAGCAAGCCCCTCGCCGCTGCCCCAGTCCTTGTACCACCTTCTTCAGTCCTGGTAATGACAGAGTCCCGGCCTCCTGGTCTGTTCCAGCCCCGGAGGGGGGAGGGGGCCAACAATGAGGGGACCTCCCCTCAGAAACAGCTGGGCCCTGGCTGGGCCACAGCAGCTCTCTGGAGAGCAGATCCCAGGCAGGAAGCCTGTCCTTTCCGCGGACGCCATGGGGGCTGGGGACCTTGGGGTGGAGCGGTAGAGACCATCAGCCCCCTGCCGGCCTGGGGTGGAGCGGGGCACCTCTGGCCTGAAAGGCCTTCTGGGGCCAGGGCTCCTCCTCCTCACTCCCCCCCACCCCCCGCTCTCTCCCCTGGTCCCAGATGTGAATTCTCGCTCGGCCCGAGTCCTCTTCCTCCTTGTGGTTCCAGGACACCTGGTGTTCCTCTACACCATCAGCTGTTTGCAGGGCGGGCACACCACGCTCACGTTCATCTTCATCCTCTTCTACATGACAGCCGCACTGCTCCAGGTACGGGCAGGCAGGAGCGCGGGGAGGGCCTGCCGCACCCTCTGCCGCCTCTCGTTCTGGGACTGGGTGGCCAAGAAACACGGGACAGGGGCTCTGGAGAACAGGCCGTGGTTCCGGCAGAGTCACCAACGTGCTGTGTGACTCTGGCCCAGTTGCTTTACTTCTCTGAGCCTCCGGGATACATTTGCGATTTGAGAGGAATGGCCCCAACGTGGTGGTTTGTAGGCAGGTGGTGGTTGTAGGGTGCTGGGCAGGTGGGCCTGGGGGGCACCCCCACTGGCCTGGCCACAGAGCTCCTCTCGGGTGTTTTGCATGCTGGGGCTTCCTTCGGAAATGTCATTTGAATGAAGGGTTTCACAACTTTAAAAAGTGTCAAAACCACCACACTAGGTCATCTGGAGGATCCTGTCCAGCCTTGCCGTTCCGTGATACAATGCACTCTCTCCCTTGTAGTGTTAGCCCATTTTTTTTTTCATCTTTTTATTTTAAAAGAATTATACATTCACAAGAAGTTGCATAATTTATGTACACAGAGGCCCCGTGTACTCTTCAGCCGGTTTCCCCCACCAGTAACATCTCACGTAACTCGGTACAATCACAAAACCAACCAGTCAGCGTCGGAACAATCCACAGGGCTTACTCCAATTACACCAGTTTTACACACACCCATGTGTGTGTGCGTGTGCGTGTGTGTATGTAATTCTGTGCGGTTCTGTCCCGTGTCGATCCGCCCATCCAGCACCACAGTCAAGACACAGAACTGTCCCCTCCTCATGAGCCCTCCTCCCACGCTCCCCTTGGAGGCACACTCGCCCTATCAGACATTGTCAATTTCCATAGACTTGACTTTTGAGTGGTAATAACAGTTCCATCGTTCAAAACTTTTTAAAGGTTCACAGTGAAAGCTCTTCTTTCCCGCCCTCTTTCTGCCACCCAGCCTCTTCCTCCCGGCCGTCCATGTAGTCCATGTCTTGTATATCCTTCAAGCCTCTTCTATATTTATTCAAGCAAACATAAAATTTTTCTTGTTTTCCTTTTTTTTACACGCATGTAGCATACTCTACACACTGTCCACGCCCTGTGTTTTCACAGCACAGTTTATCTTAGAGATCATTCCACATCTGTACATAAAGAGAAGAGCACCCTGACTTGTTATGGTTGCGTTCTTCTACCCTGTAGATGTACCTAATTTCATTTAACCAGTCCCCTCTGGGTGACCACTCGTCCTCCAGCCTCTCACCCCAAACCTTAAAAAGGCTGTGTGTTGGGACGTCTTGGCGAGGGCTGGGCCGAGAACCAGCCACATGCTCTTGCCCTGCTGCGCACTCCCCTGCACAGAGGAGTTAAGCGCCCTCGGTGGGGAAAGCGGAGGCGGGGATGCCGAGGGCCTACGGCTGGGGCTTAGCTCTGGGCTCCCCCTCTCATGTCTGCGGTCTTCTCTAGGCCTGCGGCAGGCCAGGGCAGGGCACTGAGTGCCCTGGAGAGGTTCTTCCCGATCGCTTTGCTCCCTCCGGCTCAGCCAGGTGTCCCTGGGACGAGGCTGCAATGAGGGGAGAGCTGCTGCCATGCTCTTCCTGGAGCATGGCCCAAAGTCCTCCGGGCCACACTCTTTGTGTGGGACTCTTCTGCAGCTGCTGGAAAGGGCGCAAAGCGATGGGGGGCTGGCCCTCACGCAGGGCCGGGGACAGGCCATGGGAGGAGCACCAGGCAGCTGCGTGCAAGGCAGGGGCAGCATGAAGGGTGCTGGAACCAGAGTCTCTGGTGGCCTCGGGGAGAAGACAGGAGAACCACCAAGCTGGCCTAAAACTAGGTATCACTTCTGGCTTCAGGATCCCCCAAGGTCTCCATTTCCTGCATCTGAGCCTCTTCGGGCAGAATTTACATACCAGTTTTTGCAAAGTACAGTCAAGAGTAAAACCTCCCTCCCAAATGACTGTGTTGGAGATTTACCGGTAGAAAGCATTTCATTCTCACGCAGATGCGGTCATTTAGGGAGCCCAGATGTCAGGACTGGTGCTGAGTGTAGAGAAGATGCAGGCCTGCCCACTCTCCCCTGGTATTCCAGATCAAGTGCTTTGCCAACTTCAAAGTGTATGTGAGTCTTGCTAAAGTGCAGATTCTGATTTGGGAGATCAAGAGCAGGACTTGAAATTCTGCATTTCCTTTTTTTTTTTTTTTTTAACAATTTCATTCATTTATTTGAGAGACACACAGAGAGAGAGGGTGAGCATGAGCTGGGGAGGAGCAGAGGAAGAGGGAGAAGCAGACTCCCCACCCAGCAGGGAGCCCAGCACGGGGCTCGATCTCGGGACTCCAGGATCATGACCTGAGCTGAAGGCAGAGGTCCAACCGACCGAGCCACCCAGGCGCCCCGAGATTCTGCATTTCTAACGCACTTCCAGCTGTTGTTGATGCCACTGGTCCTGCACCCACTAGCAAAGGGCTAATCGAGATCATTCTTGATCTGTAGACATGGAAGGGAAGGAAGGGCACAGATAAAGCAGCAGATAATCCAAAATGTCTTTTGCATTGATATGCACTCTCTGCTTTCTATTCGGCTGACTTACTCGTAATTCTATTTTGCTAGGGCTCATGTTAAACTAGACTTGCATTGTTTGAGCCCACAACAGCAGAATGGAAAGGGTCAGGAGGAAGCTAGCTTGGGATAATCGACTGTTACTCAGACAACTGTGCCGGCAGCAGCCTCAAACACTGTCCTTATTCCGCTCTGCTCCGAGGAGAAATCCCTGTGTGAAAAGCAAGCTCCAGGCCCCAGCCCCCTGCCAGGCTCCTGGAGAGGCCCACATGGCAGGCACTGGAGTGACCCAAGAATAGGATGACCCAGAATTAGAGGCAAGAGGGCTGAATTGCTGCAGTAAGTAGGACTTAGATTAGGTAGTCCCTCGCTTGGTCAATTTGGGAGCAGAATGTAATGCTGTTGGGGGAGGTCCTGGGGAGTAGCAGCAGCATGCTCCGCAAAGGGCTCATGGGACGCTGATGGTCCGCTCCAGGCGGTGACTGTGCAGTAGAGGAACATAAAGGGGTGGCTGGGGTGGCAAGATGAACCACCGCAGCGTATTCCCCAGGGATACAATGAATGTGCTCTATCCTGTGGCCTCTGGCTCCCCCTGGTGAGAGGGGAAGGCTATAGGCCGGGCCCTTCTGTCTCCCCAGGTGCTGATTCTCCTGTACATCGCAGACTGGATGGTGCACTGGATGTGGGGCCGGGGCCTGGACCCGGACAACTTCTCCATCCCGTACTTGACCGCTCTGGGGGACCTGCTTGGCACGGGGCTCCTAGCACTCAGCTTCCATGTCCTCTGGCTCATTGGGGACCGAGACACAGATGTCGGGGACTAGCCTGGTCACTCAACCTTTCCCCCTACCCCCTGCACTTTCTGTTCGAATTTTTTCTTTCGTTCTCCTTCCCCCACCCCACTCCACACTCCCACCTCTTTCTAGGACTTCACTTTGATACTGAATTCTCATTATTTTCAATGGGAATTTTTATACATTGAGCCAAGTTTATATAGCAAGAATTCCAACAGGACAGATGAACTGAGATAAGCAGTACAAGTAGATTTTTTGAGACAATCACCAAGTGCAATTTCATGGTGGGTGCCTCCAGGTGGGTTGGGGCAGGGGTTTCCATCTAGGATCTGGGGACGTTTGGTTTAGCTTTAGCAAACTCAGTCATGGCCCTAATGAGAAACCCTTTGTGAGTGGGTTCTGGTTTTTTTGGGTTTGTTTTTGTTTTCTCTTTTTTTTTTTCTTTTTGATTGAACAGAGAGATGAGTATCATTTCCCTCCCCCATCCCCCTAAAACACACACACTTTTTTCTAAAAATGGACCAACTTCAAAGCACTAGTAAGAAGATAGCTGCTTCTGTTCCCCTGTAACCCTAGCCCTATCCTCGGCCCTCTGTCCCAAAAAACAGTGAGGTGGACTAACCATTCAAATTGTATACACATCCCTTACCCAATTGCCTGATAAACACCACCAACCCCTCCCTTTGATCTTTTTCCCATTGATCGTCACATCTGGGAAGAAATGAGCAGGAGCCTGGTCTCTGTTGACCCATGTCCACCAATAGGTTTAACAAGATCTACATCCTCCCTGGGCCCAGAGGACCGATTATCTCTGTTCAATCTTCGTGTCTCATTGCCTCTCAATACCACCTTTCCCAGAGCTTGCCAGGTTGGGTTCCGAGATTAGGGACAGGGAGCGAGTACGTGGAGGATGGCTGGGAGGCAGAGGGCAACCAGGGGTGTTTCGCTGCCACCAAGGACATTTTATGTGGTCACTTTAGTCTCCGTCACTTCCTGAGATCACTCCCGCTGCCGCGCTGTGGACGGCAGGTTTCCTCTGTCTTGGCTTCTGCCCTCATTCACCCATTCAACAAATAGACCGCCTCCCCAAGAGGGGCTCTTGTGCAGGCATGGTCTGAAGCTTCCCCTGAGCAGTTGTGACGGTGCCTACCGCGTGGTAGGTACCGTGCCAGTGGCCAGGGAAACAGCTCTCCGCTCAGCTCCTTCCCCAGATACAAAGGCCTTGCGCCCCTTCCGACCTGACGGAGAAAGTTGCCTGGCTAGAAGTGTCTGCGTCATCAGGCCGGGTTCTGCCTCGCAATCTCAGCTCTGTGCGGTGCCGACCCCAGCCAGAGCCCCCAGCCCTGTCGCTCCAGCAGCAGTTCATTTCCCTGAACTACACTTCCGCACCTTTTCTTCCCTCCATCTCTCCCCACCAGCCACCCGAAAGAGGATTCAGACCTAGTAGGCTGGACGTCTCCGGCTGCCGGGCTCTTCTCTGCCCAGTGCAAGCTCCGGGGAACACTGGAGCCTCTGCATCCGTCCCGCGCCCCGCCCCCGCCCCCGTTGCTCTGACCAGATCAGAAATCTGTCCACACTCGCATGTGTGCCAATCTGAGCGTTCGGATGCAGGTTTTTTCCTAGCCTCTCCACGCACGGCCTCCCCATCGACCCTCCTCTCTGTAGTGGAAAGGGCCCACCTCCAGGGGCAGGCTAGGCAGTGACCCTCGCTCCTCCCAGCCCCACGCCTCATCCTGAGACCTTGGCTGGGACCTCCAGAGACTCCACCCACGCCACCTTCTGGAGTCTTCGAATTGGCAGGAATGGTAGAGGCTATGTAGTTGGGGCCGGGGCTGGCAGAGTTCATTAACACCAGCCCAGGCTTGTTTCTGCTCTTCCCTCAGGCCCTCTTTCAGCTTGCCCTCCACCTCCCAACACATCTGCACACACACACTCTTCTTGTACAGGCACCGAAACCAGCGCCCCTGCCCCTGAGGCTGTGCCCCCCTGTGTTCTCCTGGAGACCTGGAGCCTCCTCCGTTGCTGAAAAAACAGGAAGGCGGGCGTGCCCCAAGCCCCGAGCGTGTGAGCAGAGGGAGGACCACGGGGTGAGAGGGAAAGAAAATGAAGTGGACTTTCACGGAAGATTCATTTCTTTTCCCCTCTCCCCGATTGCACAGACTGCATGTACTTTTGGCCTGGCTGCAAGGAGCAACATTGGTTTACTCTTGTATCCTTAAAAAGTTACAGAACTGTGTCTTAAGAGAATTATTTATAGTTACTATAACTGAATTGACAAATGTCAACGTAACTGATAAATTATATTTGGTAAAATAAAGAGGACGTTTATTTAGGTGGTTGCTGGTTCCTGTGTGTCTCACCCAAAAGCAGCCTCGGTGGTTCTGCATCCCTCTGGAGTCCCACCTCCTCCTCACTCAGAAGTGGAAAGGGGCCAGAGCAAGACCAGAAAGGAAACAGCTCTTAAATAGAGATGTGTGATAAAAAACAACAACAACAACACACATCAGTCATTTGTTGAGCAACAATGAGTGGTGCCCTGGGACATGGGCCAGAAGCTAGTGTGGTGTCCTTGCCTTCTGCACATTGAGCCCGCCTCGGTCGGGGTACTGTGCTGAGAGGCGCAAGCATCTGTGGGGTAAGATTCCTTCCCTGCAGAGGCTTGCCATCTGGTTGGGTTAAAACTATAACAGCTCTGATTTGTCAAGTACTTATGGGGACATGCCTTCACTGTGCTCAGCCCTGTAAGCCCTTAGAAATTTACAATGACTTACAAAAGGTTTGGAGTCAGACGGGCCTCGGGGTTCAGATCCCAGATCTTCTGCTTGCCCTCGTGTGATGTTAGGGAATCCTGTACCCTCTCTGAGCCTGGCTTTCCTTATCTGCACTAATACCTCTTTCCTACAATTGCTAGGAGACTTCAGCGAGGGAATGCACATAAAGCACCAAGGTCTGTGCCTAGCACCCACTAAACCCCAAGATACTAGTCCATATTTAAAGGGTGGGGGATCGGTCAATGACAAGGCAATGTCGATATGATGACCATAGGGGTACACGGAGGGTGGCTAGGGGAGCAGGCAGATGGAAAAGACACCTAACCCAGTCTTGAGGGTCAGGGAAGTCTGGGAAGAAGCCAAGGGGAATAGGAGTTAGCAGAGAGTGGAAAGAGAAAGGCATCTTGCAGAGGAAACAATATGCTAAGCAGGGAAAGGAGCCTGGAGCTTTGGGGAACCACAGGGAGTCCCATGTGGCCGGAGTTTGGAGGGCAGTGGGTGACAACAGGGCCTCATGAGACACACACAGACACACGTTTGTGACAAAGCCGTGTTGCTGAGATGTCAGATACGGAAGAGCAGGGCCCCAGTGCCACGCCCCCAGGTCTGTCTGACTCCAAAGCCCCTGCCGGGAACCCCTGCCCATGCAGGACAGGATGTGTGACAGCCTCGACCAGCATACGCTAAATGCTGAACATTACTCATCTCAGTCAGCAGCTTTTTTTTTTTTTTCAGCTTTATGGAGGTATAATTGACAAACTTGTAAAATATTTAAAATAGAACTTGATGATTTGATATATGCATATGTTGTGAAAGGATCCCCTCCCCCCATTAAATTAATGAACACATCCATCACTTTACATATTTACCCTTTTTGGGTTTTTTTGTTTTTTTTTTTTTTTGGTGAGAACATTTAAGAAATCAGGGTTTTATAACAGGCCTGGGCTCTTGGACTAACTCTTCAAAGAAGCAATATGTTAGTAAGATTTATTAAGGGCTAACAGAAAGAGGATAATTGCTTAATTATTATTTATATAATGTTTTCATACACAGTATATTATACTATACCATATACTTTTAAATAATAATGGCCTCATTTGCAACCTCAATATTCTTTCTAATAACTCTGCAAAATTGATGTTATCACCCTTTTACGAGAGAGAAACTGAGTCTCAGAGGAGTTAAGTGTCTTGCTCAAGGTCATATATTCACACCCAGGTTTCTCTCAGCCCAGTGCCTCCCCACCATGCCTGGAGCCAGATGAGCTAGCTGGCCAAGGTGCCTTACATAGAGAACACAAAGGCATTGCTGAAATGATCAGAACTATGGTGCCTGTTATCTCAGTTTTGCCCATGAGACACCTTACATTACCGCACAATGTTAATTGTCTACTGAAATAGATAATATTTTCCAGTGGACATTTAAAAACATGCCTCCCAGGCGCCAGTCTATCCCTGATGGTATCTTTGCAACATAATTATAGGCAACAACACCAACCCCAAGATCCGCCAGAGCCAGCGACAGTCTCCTAAAATCCGCTCTCCTTCAGCTAAAATCCAGAAACCGACTAATGGACGGTATCGTGCTGCTTACCACACTATACCGCATTTTATTACATTATCTAGAAAGAAAATCTTTTCATGTGGCTCCCAAGAAAACGACTGGCTTCGGGAAATTAAAAACAAGCAAACAAACAAATTGAAAGAAAACAGAAATTGCAGAAAAGTGAGCACAATTTGGCCAGCCAGAAAAGATTGTTTTAACCATACTCTGAAAGACTTTATGGCAATATTCATGTTTAGTTAAGTGTGGGGGGACTAATACTGCCGAGCTGTTGGTGACTTTTTTTAAACAGTTAAAATAATTCCAAATAAGTTTAAATGTCATGTCATACTCAGTGCATGGCAAAAAAAATCCCTTATTCTGAACATTATAGAAATTATTTTCTCTTAACTCCTATCAAAGGAATGTTGAACAAGTAGATAGAGAACATGGCTTTAAGGATGCTCCAGACTGCGGTCGGCCCGGAACAACCACATGTTTTTCTGTCCTTGATTCTGCCACGGACTGTCACATGTGTGTTTCAAGTACATTACCCAAGTTGTTGACTACCTCACAAATTATTCAGAAATGAAGTGTTTGGTTTTTAGGAGTTAGAAACCTGTGGAAAGAAGTGAAATCAGTCAGTCAGAGAAAGACAAATATGTAATTTCACTCACATGTGGAATTTAAGAAACAAAACAGATGAACATAGGGGAAGGGAAGGGAAAATAAGATAAAAACAGAGAGGGAGGCAAACCATAAGAGACTCTTAACTGTGGGAACAAACTGAAGGTTGCTGGACGGGAGTCGGTGAGGGTGGCTGGGGGATGGGCATTAAGGGGGGCACTTGATGTAAAGAGCACTGGGTGTTGGATGTAAGTGATGAATCACTAAATTCTACTCCTGAAACAATAACTACACTATATGTTAACTAACTTGAATTTAAATTTGAAAAAAAAATATGTAAAATAAAAAAGAAATCTGTAGAAAGAAAAACTAAAGCTTCAAAAGAATAAATGCCTTGTCAAATATGAAATATTTACTAAGATCTCCTGATTGCCAGGCCAAAATCCGATCTGTCCTTCTGTCTAGGTTCAGGAAGGTTGGGGTGGAGGAATGTCCCCGAGGCCTGAGGTACTCTTGGGGGAACCACTCCCAAGCTTGGGGCGCAGCAGCTACTGATCCTTCTCCCCGCTAACTCCCATGCTGTGGAGGACAGAACAAGGCATCATGTGCCCACCTGTGCTTCTACATTCCGTATGTCTTTTTTTTTTTTTAAGATTTTATTTATTTATTTGAGAGAGAGAGCACGAGCAGGGGGAGAGGGAGGAAACAGACTCCCCACTAAGCAAGGAGCCCAATGTGGGACTCGATCCCAGAACCCTGAGATCGTGATCTGAGCTGAAGGCAGACGCTTAATGACTGAGCCACCCAGGCGCCCCTACATTCGTATGTCTTGCTCTGCTTAGAATCTGGGTTATCTCCTTCCTGTATCAGGGTCAAAGATGGCAGTCAGAATCCTCTGTGACGCCCTAGGGCATCATTGGAATTCTCCTGCTCCCACCGGGCACGATCACCAGGCTGCTTCTCCAAGCAAGGCAGATTCTTATTCTTTGACCTCAATAAGTAAAAATCCCCATGTCCACTTTCAGAATAAGGGAAACTTAGAAAACTCTTCCGGGAAGTCTCCCTAGTCTCCTCATGGAGCTTAATTGTTAAAATAATAATAATTAGGGTGTCTGGGTGGCTCAGTCGTTAAGCTTCTGCCTTCGGCTCAGGTCATGATCCCGGGGTCCAGTCGGGATCGAGCCCCCTGTCCGGCTCCCCGCTCAGCGGGAAGTCAGCTTCTCCCTCTGCCCCTCCCCCTGCTCATGCACGCACGCGCGCGCGCTCTCTCTCTCGCTCTCTCTCTCTTAAAAATAAATAAATATTTAAAATAATAATAACAATTAAGCACAAGCTTTAGAGGTAGACAGACAGATTTGAATCCCACCTCTTTCAGCTGGTGGTCATAATTAGCCTCTTGTGATCCCCCAATTGTCCCATTTATAGAATAGGACAATAATGCCTTCTTTGTGGGGCCATTGGGCAACAGAAGATTCAATAAGCAGAAGCTTCTGTTATTATCATATCATGTTGATTGAATTGGTGGTAGAGCAAAATGAGAAGAGAAATACTCAGAATACAGAGTTTGGGATGATAGGAAGGACCTAGTGAAGAAGTTAACAGACCCAGATCTGTCCTGGATATTACTCATCAGTGACATGGGTGCAGCTGAAGTGGGAGAAAGCTGTGCAGTGAAGAGGACCCCCTGTCTTCACAGAAACGTCTCCACTGGGTGAACACACCCTGCCCTGAGCCCGGCTTCCTCCTCAGAAGCTCAGAAACTCACTCCCATCCAGAAATCATGTCAGGGAAGCTGACTTGGACACACAAACTCATTCAGGCCTGTGCCTAAGACCAAATGGGCCCAACAGACATGTCAGCCTACCCAGCACATTAGCTCCCTGGGGCAAGCTACGTGGGAAGGCTGGTGGTCAGAAGGCACCCAGGGAGTTTAGAATCCTAACAGAGAAGTTAGTTTTATAACTTGAAGATATAATGGTACCAGGTCTTGTTTCAGTTCCGTGGGTCTCCACAATAGGGATACCTGACAGCCAGCCAGATACTCCCTGAAGATTCTGGTGTCTACCAGACCGAGCCCGGAAGAGGTGCGGCCGGTATACTCTCAGAGTCTCCTCTCTCTGCCTCGGAGGTTGACCAACCTCCCTGCAGGTCAACGCGTTTCTTCTTTAGATCTGTGTATACCTCCATTCAGTCTCCTGCCTGAGGACTTCTCATTCATGTTCGAGTTAGAGTTTAACTCCGAGAGAGCTAGGGACACAATGGTATTTCCAAGTGTTGGTGGAGGGGCAAGGGATTATCGGTGGGCAACTAAGAATGGCCTAGAGGGACAATAATCCCTGCCTTCCTCCCCTCTTGCAGAGCTAAGAGGACATAGAAAATTAGAACAGAATCA